CAAATATAACGAATTACTCCGTACAATTTTGCGATCCAGCCACTGAATTTTCTGATGCAGTCGTATATGATCTTCACAATTTGACACCATATGCTATTGGAAAAGATTCCACATACGGAGTATTGAATAAGCCACTCTTTTTTAGTTGAAGGCTTAGACTTCATCAGAGCGACTCAGCGGAAAACCCTTCCCCTCTTTCGCGGCAATCCTCAATTGGCAGTTAACAGGTCATAAAACTAGGCACTGCATGCCGGCTTTAGGGTCTGTTTGCGACAGCTTTTGCTTTTAAAAAAGTGCTTTTTTTAATGAAATGAGGAAAAGTGATTAAATAAAAGTTGATAGTGTTTGAGAAAAGAGTGATTTTGAAAAGTAAAAGTGGGTAGTGTTTGGTAAAATAAGTGCTTTTTGTGTAATAGAAAAAGTAAAAGCACTTTTGACGCGGAAGCCGAGAAAAATAAAAGTTGTAGTGTTTGAGAAAATAAGTGCTTTTTTAAAGCTAAAAGCTGAGAAGTGCTTTTTTAAAAGCAGTTGCAAACCAACCCTTAGTCATTAGGTATTTTATATTATTACGGAGTACGTAGTACGATAGTATTTATTTAGAGAAATTTAGGTATATGTACAAGTTAATTAAATACCTACCCTTTAATGTTGAGGCCTTTTGGCAACTGTGTTTTTCGGCTTATCAGCCAATTTTTTCAACAAACATGTATTTTTTGCTTTTGTGCGCTAAATTGTGTAATAAGCAGAAAAAGTAAGGTTGGAGTTACTTTTCTGACTGTATTGGCTGAAGTTACTGTAGATGACCATTTTAGCTATTTTTACATATAATTTTTTCTTTATTTTATTAATAAAATATATTTTAAAAATATGTTTTTCTTAAACCAGCAGAATCAGCCAATGCAGCCACTTCAGCCAGAACTTCATAAATTTCAGCAAAATCAGCTAAAACAGCCTATTTTCGTGCTACCAAACGGGCTCGTTATGTATTATTATTAAAAATAAAACAAATAGCCTTTTCTTGACTACTACTCCCTCCGTCCCAGAAAATTCTTCCCACTTTGACTTGGCACGGAGATTAAGAAAGTGGAATAAAGTGAAAATGTATGGTTGTGGTTGTGTAAGAAAAAGGTGAAATGAATGTGAACCACACAAATTGTCCGAAAATGGTAAGTGGGAAGAATTTTTTGGGACGATCCAAAAAAGAAAGTGGGAAGAATTTTATGGGACGGAGGGAGTATCAATTTAGAACATGTATTTTATTTCAGCAGTACTACACCCGTAACTATTCTTCACATGTCTATCATAAGCAAATCTCATGCTAAAGTGTTATATGCTTTATAAAATATAAATGGTTGCTACTAACTTTATGTATTCTAATTTAAAATACTATATAACCATTTCTCCCTATTTATTTATTTATTAGAGTAACTTTGTAAGGGTTAGACATAATTTTATTTTGAGAGAGTCAAATGAATGAAGTGTTAATAATGGAAGTGTTAATAATGGAAGTGTTGATCATTTTACCTTGAGGCAGAAGAAACGAGCAAGGAGAAGAGATGAAAAAGGAAGATCATTAGACATGCGCAGTGGCGGAACTACGGGGGAGCAAGCCTGTGCTGCCGCCCCCCCCTTGTCCGACGACCGTAATGTATATATATATGTATGTATATGTCACAGCCCCGGTTGGAAAATGTGAAATATATAGTTCTCTCCTGGCCCCCCTTCCTCTTGTGTCTCTCCTGAATTCATAGCATTCCCCATTCCAGCTTGAGTGCTCTCTCTTGTCTCATCCAGGTCCATGTCATGTATGGAATTCACCATACGTGTAGTGGTCTTGCCACCTCCTCAGGAGCTCCCTTCTAAGATCAACCATTTGCTACCCATGTTAGACTTCAATTTTCGCCCACTCGCTCTTAGCCACGGCCCAAAAGGCCTAGTCATAGCTTGCTCCTCTTTTTCGTACAGAAGAGGACATAATTTCTCAGCATGTCCAATCACACCACAACAAAAACATAAGCTTGGGAGCTTCTCATATATAAAATCTACCCAGTACCCTTCTCCCTCACTCTTTCTTAGAGTGGTCTCAATCTTTAAAGCTTTACTAAAGCTCATGCGGACTCTCACACGCATATAGACTTCCCTCTTTTTATCAAATTGTTTATCATCCCAAGTGACAAATTCACCCAAATGATTCCCAATCCTTCTCACCGTTCCCAGATTTTCAAAGCTATGCGACACATTATGAGCCTGTACCCAGATCTCAAACCCATCTCGCGACATCTTAAGCGGGATATCACCCAGTTTAAAAGCTTTTAACACAATCAAATTTTGATCAAACAGCCAGGGTCCACTATCCAGGACACGATTCATATCAACAGAGTGGAAAAATTTAAATAGATACCTCCGTTCTCCGAGTTCCTGTATTGAGATTCCTTTGTCGGGACGCCATAGATCACCCATGAAATCCCTGAAGAACGGAAGTAGAATGACCTTGTCCGTGAGAATCGTCCCAACAACCGGAAACTCTTCCGTCTTCACTGCCCCAGTCGCCGCTTCCCCCTCCTCTTTGTCCTCAGTCAGTAGTTCATCCTCGATTTTCCCGATGCCCAGACCTCCATATTTGACGGCGAGACTACCTACCTGCTCATCCTCCTGGTCTCGGTCATCCTTGCGCCCGTCGTCTGCTTCATCACCCATCGTCCTGCTGTCGCATTCGTCTAAGCCGCACCACGAGGCCAAAGAAACGTCGATAACCTGCACCGCACGAAGACAGCGAGTCTCTCGCACCCTCAACTCTCGCAAGGGTAAATAAAACTTTCTAATTTCCACGTTTTTTAGAAATAGAACTTCATTTTGGAATATCAAAAAAGAAATGTGAAAATCTTATTTCGGGACATATCCTAAAATAAAATGCACTATCATTGCTCTTAAACTTTATCATTTTCATTTTTTTGTCTAAAAAACATTGTCATTTCTCCTTTTAATCAATCAATTTATAGTTTTCATCATTTCTCTTCTATCTATACAAATCTAACCAAACAGTTTTTACTTAGGGGGTGTATTCAATATAGATTGTTGTGGACTTTTTTTAATCCATGGACTTTTAAAAAAGTCAATGGACTTTTAAATCCATAGACTTTTTTATGAATGAATTCTATGGACTTTTAAGTTCATGGATAAATTTATTGACTTTCAAAAAGTCCATAGACTTTTAAACGCGGACCGCCACTGCTGGTCGTCAAAATTTTAACCTAGATTGTCACTATCGATATGCATGTGACCTGTCCGCCTCCATCACGGAGTTCCCCGCTGTGATGACTGACGCGTCACCAACAAAATGGCTTTGGGTGTGAAAGGGAGCTAGGGACAATTAATTATATTAATTAATTAATTAATTAAATTAGGGGTGAATATATAACATTTATTCTTATTTAAGAAAAATCAAACATTTAATCATACTTTAAGAATAATGCTATGTTTTAGTCCTACCGTAAGTGATTTCCTCTATATAATACGGAGTACGATAAGAAATAAATAAGTAAATAAATAAATAAATAAATAGATAAATAAATAAATAAATACATAAATAAATAAATAAATAAATAAATAAATAAATAAATTAATAAATAAATGAAAAAAATGTAATTCATATAGCAACACAAAGTTCTACAAAAATAAATGAAGCCCGGCCCGATGGATCGGTACCGGTATCGGGCCTAGGCCTGACCCGGGGGGTTAATTGCGGCGATTCCAGGACTGCATATTTGAGGACCAGTCCGGCCGGTTCGGGCCCAGTCCGGGCCTTATTTGTTTTTTTTTTGTTTTTTTTTTGGGGTTTGGGCCTATGGTAGGTAGGCTGCGTTGGGTGTTTTGGAGGGGTTTGGGGGGTGAGGGTTGGAATATATAAGAAAACCCAAAAAAAAATGAACCAGCCCGGCCCAGCCCGGAACTGGCCCGACCCGGTACCAGTAGACTCCCGGGCCGGTCCCGGGCCTTACCCAAAAAATTCCAAGCCCGGCCGGGCCCGACTCGGAACCGAAACTGGGTCGGGCCCGGTCCATCCCTAGGGGGGGAATGAGGTGGGACGGGATGAAGAACCGATATAAGAAAAGTCCACGAAAATCTTTGGTGAGGAGAAGAGACAATTGCAGAGAATTTTTGCACTAAAAATGAGTTAAAAGTCTACAAGAATCCATGATTTTAGAAGTCAATAAGAATGAACGGAAATTTGAATACGCCTAGACTTTTATAGACTTTTAAAAGTCCGCATTGAATACACCTAGACTTTTGTGGACTTTTAAAAGTCCACATTGAATACACCTAAACTTTTAAAATCCATGGACTTTTAAAATTTTGCCACTAATTCCTAATACAATACACCCCCTTATAGAGCCCGTTTGGTAGCACCAAAATCAGCTGTTTTGGCTGATTCTGCTGAAATTTATGATATTCTGGCTGGAGTGGCTGTTTTGGCTGATTCTGCTGATTTAAGAAAAAAATATTTTAAAAATATATTTTATTAATAAATTAAAGAAAAAATTATATGTAAAAATAGCTAAAATGGTGCTCTACAGTAACTTCAGCCAATACAGCCAGAAAAGTAACTCCAACCTTACTTTTTCGGCTTATTACACAATTCAGCGCGCGAAAGTAAAAGTTACGTGTTTGGTGAAAAAGCTGGCTGATAAGCCTTATAAGCCGAAAACAGAATTCTCCAAACGGGCTCATAGAGTAATTAATTCTAGTCTGAAATCTTTGCCAATGTTTAGCAATTTCTTGAGGATGGGCCAAAATAGGGATGCTATCGGTTCATAAATGGGCCAAAACACCTGTAGCAACGGGAAAGCGAATTTTGACCGTCAGTCAGAGGCAACTTGTGCGTGTGTTTGGGAAATCTCTGACACTCTGTTCACTATCTTCTCCGTACCTCCTTTTCCGCTTTCACCCTATCTCAACTCCCCCCATAGCCTATAGGTCAGTTTCCTTTCAGTTTCCAACGGCCCTCAAAGTCTTTTTTTGTTTCTTTTTTTTTTTCCTTTCCGCTCCCTTTTCATTTTAACAGCGACGTGGTTGAGAATTAATATTTTTTTTCTCCTCAAGAAATCGCACGGCTTACATTTCTGAAATTTTATATTTACTCTGATCCCAGGTTTCTTTTTTTGGGTTAAGCATTCTTTAATTTACACTCATATTAGTGACTTTTTAACCACGGTAACCTTTCTGTTGAGATTCTATTGAAGGATGAGATGTTTATGAAGAGCGTGGTTAATGAATGGAGTGTGATCATTTTTCTTTGAATTTAGTGTTCTTGTATAAATTTTAAATGCCTCATTGAAGAAGAAGCCATAAAGTTGATTCCTTTTTGTTACTCTGTCTATCATATGAATTTGTTTGCTCATTAAAGTAAAATTTCTCAAATTGAAATGGGTTTTTAATAAAAACAACATTCTTGCAAAGAAGTTTAAGCAACTTCATGCGACTCATTCTATGGAAGGATCAGGTGTTTATGAGGTGCAGGAGTGTGATCATTTTTCTTTGAATTTAGTGCTCTTGTATAAAATTGTAATTGCCTCATTGCAGAAGAAGCCATAAAGTTGATTCCTTTTTCATACTCTTGTCTATGATATGAATTTGTTTGCTCCTTAAAGTAAAATTCCTGAAATTGAAATGGGTTTTTAATAAAAAGAACCTTCTTGCAAAGAAGTTTATTCAAGTGTTCAACTACATGCGACTCATTCAGTGTTCCTTTTGTTGATCACTGCTGCGTCTTATTTCAGGCTGAGAATTGGGCTGTGAAGGTTGACAATGGCTGGAGAGAAGATATTGGATGAATGTATCTTTTTTCTGTAGTTTCTATACGTTTTCTTAAAATTGTTTTTGGAGGGGACCTTGAACTTCTTTAAGATGCTATAGCTTTTGCAAATTGAGATCATCCTGCCAACTTTATGTATGCCCAGAAGCATTTGTCATTTTCAAAACTCAAAACATAGAAAGAAACTCAGTGACTTCAAATTTGGGCTTATTTTCCGTTATCATAATTAAAAGTAATTTGGAAACCCGTTTCGTTAATTAATTTGCATTTCAGTAAAACCTTGGTTCTTTCTTGTTGAGATTTCTTGAAGAAAGTTGGTGTTTTCTTACATGATGGGTTTTTATCACCTTCTCTTGTAGGAACTTAGCATTTTTTTTTACAGTCAGTATCTAGCAAACTTTATACGTCAAAAAGTATAGCATTATTATAAATGTATGCTTCTACTCTTGTAGTTACGAACATCCCCATGTTTCACATGCTATATATATTTTTAGAATACAGTTTCAAATTTTCTTATCTCATCTTTTCTGTTTTGCAATTTTCCTTGTTTTCTAACACGGGTGTCCGGGGATCTTTGTGTCAAATAATCACGCGGGTACTGAAGTTAATGTATGGGCAAACCTTCAGAGTTCCTCAGGGTTTAGAACTAGTGATCTCAAAAGAACATTTTGTTCCTGGTTTCAGACCAGATGAACAACCAAAAAGAACATTTTGTTCTGATTTTGCATTTCGGTTCGACATGTATATGTAATACTTAACTCTTTAGAAGCTGAGGCAAGCAGAGCTGGATTGAATCCTGAATCAGTTACTGAGTTGACTAATAAGGTATTTTTGTACTTGGGTATTTTCTTTCTTAGTTCAGATTTTAAAATTTTGGCTATTCTACCATTACTATGCTTGCCTTTCCACTTTTTTGTTATTCTTTTATTATTTTTATCATTGCGCCGTCAGGTTTCTAGGAAAGTAGGAAAAGCATCTGGTCCACCCTCTTCCATTTCTCCTATGGGGACTGCTGCTGCTCGTGTTAATGGCGGTGTTCATCAATCCACCAGTCTAAAGCCATCTATCACTAATTCAACTGCCGGCTCCTATGATCATTATGGAGGTTAGTGAAATGTTCATTTTTTTTGTATTCCATTGTTTTTGTATGGATCTTACGAAGAACAAATTGAACTCTAATGCTCATTTAGTTTATACAGTTAAGGGCTTGGTTAGCACATTGAGTTCAATAGCTAGCTAAAAGTTGAAATGCTAATAGCAAAGGCTTAATGTGAAAATACATCTTTTATAAGAATAGATAATTGCTAAAATGTGTTATTCTATTAAAATAGCAATAGGGTCCTCAAAAGAAAAATTGAAATGTCAATATCTTATCTCTCATTTGATCTGGAGTCAAACTTTGAAACCTAAACTTATTTGGAGTTTTTATTTTATTTACAAAATTCAAAAGATGACTTATTTTCAGCTAAGAATACCTATAAGCTCCCAAATAAGGCTCTACCACACAGACATACACACACACATCCTAAATGGCTGACTAATAATTGGCTCCTGTTCTTGCAGGATACAGTCGACCACTAAATGATGATCAAGGTTACTTTAATGCGGTAAGTGGCTTTTATTTACCTTGATGATGATGGAATTTGCATCTGTATCATCAATTTACATTTTTACCTTCCGGCAGTCTGAATTTCAACAATTCTCAGGGTATTCAATCAAATAATGGTTCTTCCCTTTACTATCACCCTGGAAGTAATCCTTACCGCCATGATTTTGTGGACTGTGATCGAAAACAACAACCACATTCATCGTCATCATCATCATCATCATCAGGGTATCTTCAGCAACAATGGTGCTCATCAAGGAATTCTAAAACCAGAACAGTGGATATGAAAGGTTCATTAAAGTCGAATGGTTTTAATTCTTCAGAATCAAATTTGGGCTCTTCAACCCGAAAAATGCCATCTTCATTTAGTTCTGAAAGTCAATATTCTACTGCTTCATCGAAGTACCCCCTCCAAAGCCATCCCAATAAACAATCAAACAAGGTTGGCCTTTGTCATAATATTAATCTCTTAAGCTAAATTTATGTTATCTACTTGCCTTGTTACTGCATTGCAACGGGTTCATGCATTATCTTGAATCACTCATTGAGGTGTCCTAATAATGGTGCGTGCGTGTGTAGTGTTTGACATGCAAAAGGCTAGTTGCTTCTAACTCTTCAAAAATAAAATAGGGTCTTAGTTGTGAGTTTGGTGACAAGGCTTTTAGAGAGTTTTTTTTCAAAAAGTCCAGTGCTTTTTTTCAGCATGTCGCATATGAGGAAAATGCATCTAGCTTTCCTTATTTTTTTCCTTTTATGGTGATACTAACCCACTGGTGCATGTTTTTTGCCTGTGTTTGCTTTTATAATAACATAAAAACTACGTGTATAAATGATTTGACATTACCTTTACTTGTGTAGTTACAACAGCTAGTAACCATTTTTTTTAAAGAACTGCAGTCTTTTAAGTACTAACCAACTTCTGAGCATCCAAAAAGTTCAAAAACTAATTTTTTGCTAGTAATGGCAAACATACACTTGAATAGTTAAGTATTCTTTGATTTCATCAAACAAATCTTTCATCTTCTGCAGTTTGGTTCAAATTTCCAGCTTGGTGGCCAATCGGATGGGTTTCACCGGGTTGCAAAGTTTCCATCATATACCAATCAAAACCAAGGCTTTATTATGCACAATGGTCTAAATAATTACCGAACGAACGGCACAGCCTTGAATGTTAACTTTAAACCCAATTTTAGAGAAAATTTCTATAAGAACAGAGTGGGAGATGTCTCGGCTGAACTTAATCGTGGTCCTAGGGCGAATGGCAAGAGTAATCCTCTAAAACCGTCAGACAAAAATGAAACCATTCAGCGGAGCATGTATAACAAAGAAGATTTTCAGACTCAGTATGATCATGCAAAGTTTTATGTTATCAAGTCATTCAGCGAGGATAACGTTCACAAATGTGTTAAATATGATGTTTGGTCAAGCACCCCAAATGGAAACAAGAAATTAGACAAAGCTTTTCTTGAGGCTGAAAGGAAAGCAAGTGAAACAGGCGGAATGTGTCCGGTCTTCCTCTTCTTTTCTGTAAGTTTGCCTCTGCCTCTTTTACGCTTCCCTAATACAAGCTAGAACTATAAGAAACTAGTAATATGATATATTTAGCTAAAAATCCAAATCTTTTAAAATGTAAACATAATCTATGACTTATAGCGATTGCAATTTGCCACATTCAAAAGTTGTACTCTTTATGAGGTAACTCTTTTTCAATTCAAACATTTTAAAGTATCCCCTCCTTCTCATTGAACATTGCCAACTTTGAGTTGAGTCTAAAATAAGAAAAGAAAAAAATGTGTGGATGAGGTTTGTGCAAAGGAGAGACAAATAAGCTGAACCACAAATTCATTACTTTTAAAAGAAAGTGTCAAAGTTTTTGGGACAAACAAAAATGAAAAGTTGGCAAAGTCCAATGGGACGGAGGGAGTATTATCATTGTTGCTAAAACTATCAATATCACAAGTCTTTTACAAATGGAACACTTTGACAGCAACTTTCTCAATTCATCTCCATCACATGATATTTGATTATTTTTCATACAAATGGATATAAGATAAGGTCATAACAGTTTTGCGGTCAAATCTCGATAGCGTTGACAATTAGGATGAGGTAGTTCAAATCATACTAAAAGATTTGATCACCTAGTTCAATCATACTAAAAGATTTGATTAGCCAGTTCAACTTATAATGTTTTATGAACCCGTATTTCTGTCTTTAATATTCCGATGTGTGACTATAACACATCTCAATATTCACTCTTTACAAGGTGGTAACACTTGGCATAAATCGCCACTCTAAATCTTGCACAAATCGAGTGTAAAATGATTTTAGCCGATCAATTATGTCACTTTTCCAACTTAATTGCGATTAAGGTGCTACTAATGATGTTGATTATCTCCGGTAAACTACTCCCTCCGTCCCGAAAAGGTTGGCCAAAGTTGACTTTCACGTGGATTAATAAAGTAAAAACTGTGTGGTTGAAATTTGTGCAGAGGAGAGAGAATTAATTTTAGCCACTTATTCCTTACTTTAAATGGAAATGACAAATCTTTTTGGGACATCCAAAAAAGGAAATTTGGCCAACCTTTTTGGGACGGATGGAGTATATGTGTGTGTGTTATATGTATAAGCAATTTTTTCATCCATGGCTAATTCCTCTCCCTTTTTTCTGGTGGATTAAAAGGTGAATGGAAGTGGACAATTTCTAGGTGTTGCAGAGATGATAGGGCCTGTTGATTTTAACAAAAAACTGGATTTTTGGCAGCTGGACAAATGGACTGGGTTCTTCCCAGTCAAATGGCACATAATTAAAGATGTCCCCAACAATCAGTTGAAACACATCATCCTTAAAAACAATGATAACAAGGACGTTACATACACTCGAGATACTCAAGAGGTACTCTGCTTGGGAAAGAGATCTAAGGGGGTGTTTGGAACTGATTCTGCTTCTGCTTCTTTTTTAAAGCAGAAGCCGAAACGATTTTAAGAAGCTGGTCTCCCCCAGCTTCTAAAAAAGCTGATTCTAGGAGTAAATTAGAACACCAGAATCATTTCTGCACTTTCATCCAAAGACTCCAACTTCTGTTCCCTGAAGAAACAGAAGCAGTTTTAAGAATCAGATTCAAACACCCCCTTATTATATGCCTTTCTTTATGTGATTTTTTTAGCATATGCATGGATGGTAACATATATACACTGCTGTAAACTTTAGGTCGGGTTGGAGGAAGGTTTGGAAATGCTTAACATTTTTAAAAGTTATTCCGAAAAATCGTCGCTATTGGATGACTTCGACTTCTATGAGGGCCGAGAGAAGTCACTCAAGGCCAAAAGGAGCTCCACCACTTCAGAACAGGGAGCTGATCAGTTCCCGGACAATGATGTTCATGTGAGTCTCATCTTATCTCACTTCACTATCCACACAGCCAATTCTATTCTTTTTTAATCTCTGATTTTAAGCAATAAATTATTCATATTGAATTCAGTTTTTGCATTCAATAGAACTTCTAGCGTAGCTTCTAAATGTGTAAATTTAAACTAATACTAATAATGATACATATTTGGTTTTCAGTTTCTATATTTGTGTTCTATTATCGAATAACACCAATGAGACTTGTATATGGTGCAGATTCCATTCAGAGGAGAAAATAGTATTACCGAAGATGCGGTGCTGGAATCTGTATCTGCGCCTTCTCTCATCACTCAAACCAGAAAGCTATCTCTTAAATCACAGCCATTATAAAGCATATGAATTAAAGACTGATGAATGGCACCAGTTTCTTTTCTCCAGCATTGTTGACTTATTGTTTACTTTTCTTACCATTTTCTGAATAGCTTTGCTAGTTTCTTTTAACCCTCCAGATAGAACCCGAGGTACTGTTTTCTTTTCCCTCCTTATCTATTCTTTTTGCATTTTGGGGTACTTGCTTTGAGCTTTTTCTACCCATGTTTCAATTGTTGTTCGAGCTGTGGACCGGAAAAACCAAACAATGTGCCATTTTATGATCTTCAGCATTTGCTGGAAATAATACCAATGCCTTTTAATGTCAGTTAAGGCGTCTTACTTCTGGAATATCTGCAAGAATCGTTTAATTTTGTTCAGAGCGCAATTCTTTCCTCATACCGATATAAAACGGAACAAGATAGGGTCAATGGAAAGTTGTCCTGTTTGTACGACTATAAAAATCTATTTTAGCTGTTACATAATTTGTAGTGCAAGCTCAAAAAATAATTAATATTATCCTATTATTGTTTTAAGCCCAGAGTTTCAATTAGAAAATTAATACTAGTACGAGTTAAAAAATAATACCTAGCATAACTCAGCTACAAATATCCTTTCAAAAAAAACTCAGCTACAAATATATATAGTGAGAGAAGTCTAGATTTGAAGAAAGAATAGTAGTAAAATATCATCGTACATGTACAAACATAAAATTATTTCTAAAAACATAAAGCTTAACCTTTTGATTTAACTGTAAACATAAAGCTTCCCTAATTAAGGAAGAAAATAATGGACTTATTTGTACCCTTTACATTTTTTTAAAGTTACTACTATAGTCACTATGTTTAAGAAGTCACACTTTGATAGATTATCTTGTTTTAGTTTTAAAAATGTCATTAAATTAGTTCACATGTAATTGATATCACACATGAATAATGATGAGATTGGAAAAAACTTCTATTCAATAAGAACATAATTACATGAGGAGTTAAGTTCATTCAACTACAAAAACCAATCATAAACTTTCATAAATTTTTCTCACTCATGAGCTTGCACATTTCTTTTTCAAAAGGCGCGCAATTGTCAAATCTAACACATCATATGCCCATACTTCTCTCATTATATAGTGTTTTCATTTGAACCAAATTATACATGGACATCTTATTCAATGATATGGTGCATATCTTTTTAATAAGTTTTTCAGTAAAGATAAAAAAAGGTGCATCTTATTCCAGGATAAAGTGCATATCTTTTTAATAACAAGTTTTTCAGTAAAGATAAAAAAAAAGAGAATACAAACAATAATGAGAGAAGAAATTAAAAGAAAAAACACCTATTACTAAACAAAAGCGCTATATATTAAAATTTAAAAGCATAAGTTGAATTAGAGTTCTTCAATCGACTCTGTTGTTTCGTTTGTAGATATTTGTTGTAGCAGCCTCATTCTGTTTCATTGTTAAGTTATCCTCTTCATGTTTCTTTGATGAGCACGCTAATGGAGGATCCAACCGTTTTGAGTTTTGTCCTAATATTATTTGATTTTCTTGGGTTTTTTCTTTTGAAGAATTTGATCAAAGCCTTTCTGAAATAATCAAAACTTCCCTCGCAAATAAAAAAATTTCAAAACTTTGCTTTTATATTTGCAAAAAAGGTTCACTATTTTCCTTCAGAGTATACTGAGGCTATGTTTGGCACAACGAGCTGGAACTGGAGACTAATGTCTGAATTGAGAGCTATTGTCTGAATTAGATACTATTGTCTGGAACTGAATTACAAAGTGCTGAATCTGAACTGCTAGCTGAATCAAGTTGGTCGTTTGGCAAAAAAAGATCAAAGAGTGACTGAAAAATGTAAAATTACGTTTAAGGGCATAAAATATACTACGTATTATTCAAAATATTTATAACCATGATTAAATTACTAGTTTTTCACGTGAACATATATTTTATTTGTTAAGCTTATTTCATCCCAACTAATTACGTAGTATCATTATGAATCATGTTTATGATTAAGTAATTCAACCTATTTCATCCTAGCTCATGACCATTTTTCACTCCGTATTATTTTTATGTCTTATTTGTTCAACTTATTTATTTATTTAAATTAAATTTATAAAATCTTAAAATCAGCTGCACAAATTATGGTCAACGTGAACCAACAAATACTGTATATTCGTTTATATAATTTTATATACATATGAGGGATGAGACTATTTATTATACATAATAAGTGGAGGCTATAAACAGGGAAGTGGCAACAAGGTAATGGGCATGGAGGTCTATTGCACAAGGGCTGAACCTAAACGTTTGATATACCAACGTTTTAGTTCAGTTGGTTATTTTCAATTTAAGCTCATATAAGTCATCCCCCCAAACAGAGCTACTTTTAAATTAATTGGCTGGATTTAATGAATTTCAGCCCTTTTTCAGCCTTAGAAGGTTTAAGTACTTGGTTGATTAAGAAATTTTAACTAAATATAGTGGTAAATGTTTTCCAAAACCATTACTATATTTACTAAACAGAATGGACACTGCTAAAAATATACTCCCTCTGTCCCACAAAATTCTTCTCACCTACCATTTTGGGGTGTTCAAAAAAATCTCATTTCCTTTTTTGAAAGTTTTGTCTAGTTAACATTCATTTACATTTTTCTTACTCAATCGCAATCATACATTTGCACCTTATTCTAACTTTCTTAATAAGCGTGTCAAGTCAAACCGGGAAGTACTCTCTCTATCCCATTTAAATCTTTACAATTTCTTTTTTGGGACACCACATTTACTACTTTACGTTTCCTTTTTAGGCAAGTCGTTTTACATTAAACGTCTTAACTACCATTCACCACTCAGCCACTTTTTACATTTGAGGGAGTAGTATTTTTTGGGGGGACAGAGGGAGTATTACTCTGGTCCTGCAATAAAATTTTCATTAAAAATGACACATTTTTTAGCAAATAATTAGATAACGTGTGTATAGTTTCAGTAGTTACGGAGTACATAATAATGATGATGTTATGGATGCACGGTGCATAAATTACATTTTATGATAATGTTGTCATTTAAAAAAACTACTCACTATCAATTCAAGAATATAACTAAAATAAAACTTATTTACATAAATATAACTATTCATTACTACAACGTAGTGTTGTGATAACTTAAATTCAAGACTTGAACATGAATTACTATGATTTTATTACTAATCTAGTAACTAGTCATATTTTTGTAAATCATCTTTATTTTGATCATATTTATGTAATTATTTCTTTAAATAACATCTCAAAAAGAGGGGTAAAGACATTTAGAGCCCGTTTGGTAATATCAAAATCGGTTGAATATGCTGATTCCGCCGAAATTTATAAAATTCTGACTGAAGTGGCTGAATTGGTTGATTTGTTGATTTATTAAAAAATTATATTTAAAATATTTTTATTAATAAAATAAAGAACAAATTATATGTAAACATAGCTAAAATGATCATCTACAGTAGCTTCAGCCAATATGGCCACAAAAGTAACTCTAACTTTACTTTTTCTTATTATTACGCAATTCAGTGCACAAAATCAAAAATTACGTATTTGGTTAAAAAGTTGGCTGATAAGCCTAATAAAGCAAAAACTGGACTACCAAACATGCACTTAATTGGGGTGGAGTAAGACATCATTATAAATATTTTGTTCAAAATTATAACAAATGATAAAAATGAGCCTATTACATTTTTTTACTCCGGGGGGATCTGGGGGAGGGGGGCTGGGGGGAGCATAGAGTAATCAGGACTGAAACTCACTCCATTGAGTTTCTAACCCTTGTGTGCCTAGCGGGATTCGAACTCGAGACCTCCCACTAGGCACGGTAACCTCACAAACAGATGGGCTGGAATGCTTGTTTATTAGCCAATTACATTACAAGCAAGCATTTGCTATGTTGAGTCCCTCCTCCGCCAATTGCTACTTATTCTGGATTGGGACGTTCGATCCCGTACCGTTATTACTAATTGGGTCGGGACCAGGATGACCCTAATCCCGGACCGTTCCGACCGTTGCCCACCCCTACTTATCCAATCCATCCACGCCTATCCAACCTATGTCTTACATGCCATCCAAGCTACATACCCCAATATACATACATCACACATGAATAAACTAAGTGATGAATTTTGGAATATTACATTTGGCTCTATATATGCTTAGTGATGGACCGGTTCCGGGGCGGCGGCCCGAGGCCGAGGCCGACCCGGCACTGTTTGGAACTGGCCCGGCCCGGTGGCCCGGCCAGAGACCAGTCCGGGTAGGCCCGGGCTGGCCAGACGGGGCCCGGTTCGGGCCATTTTTTCCAGTTTTTTTACCCCGGGTTGGGTTGGGTGTTTTTTGGGGGGGGGGGGGGGGGGGGTTAATTAGAAAAGCAAAAAAAATGAACCGGCTCTAGGCCCGGCCTGGCGGAAAACCGGTCCGGACCCGGTGGATAACCGGGCCGGTTCCGGGCCTCAACTTTCCCCAAAAAAAGCCCGAGGCCCGGCCCAGGCCCGGTCCATGCCTACATATGCTACCTTCATCAATTACTATATTATTGGACAAGTTGAAGCCTTAAGCCCGTGACCCGCTCCCAATACCCCCCCGGTCCGGGCCCCAGGCCCACTCCCGGTCAACCGGGCCGGTACTGTACCGTCGATACGGCGGTACGGCATAGTGGCTGACTGGGCCGGGCACCGGGCCTGTGCGTTTGGTCCTGGTCCACCCCTACTTTTTTTGTTTTGTAATCAAAAGTTTAGAACCAATTTTACTGGCCAAGTTTCGGGTTACCCCTACCTGGAAGTCTGGAACCAGGTGGTCGCGAAGTGCACGACCCAAAACCAGATTGAACCGGCCCGGTCACCCCTACTATATATACTACAGGGTACTTTCTTCAATTACGATATTCTTGAACTCTTCCTTTATATTTGATTGATCAACTATAACTAGGGGTGGACTCGGGCCGGGTGGCCCGACCCGGAACCGGCCCGATCCGGCGCTGTTCAGGCCCGGCCCGCTAGGGTTCCGGTCCGAGCTCGGCCCCCCTAAATCACGAACCGACCCGGTCGGTTCGGACCCGGTTCCGGTTCGTTTTAATTTTTTTTTCCCAATTTTTGTTGTTTTCGGGTTGGGCTCGGTGTTTTGGGCCATTTGTGGTGGTTTGGTGGTGAGGGGGGGGGGGGGTTAACGGCCCGGGCCCGAACCAGCCCGAGTCCACGCCTAACCTCTGTTCTAAAAATCGTTCTAGGCGCCCGACTAGTCCCCGCCTAGGTGCTAGGCGGTGGTCGGGCGCACCGATTTTCGTCTAGGTGCTCTGACTAATTGGTTTGCCGTCTAGGTGAAT